TGAAAAGGCAGAAGGAGGAGGAAGGTCGTTTACCGACTGGCTCGTTATCTCCTGATCCGAGTGCAAACCAGCGGAAGGGAATCCTTCTTTTCCCTATTTCATCGACTCGCATTCAATATCCGTCGTCGCGAATTTTGCCCCGAATTTTCTTTAAAATCGACGTCCTGCCTTTTTAGCATCTACATACGACACACGATTCAGATTTATTCCTATCGCGAGGCCAGATTTGCTGGAGACAACTAGAGACGACAATCGAAACTCTTGGTCGCAAGCTCCGATAAACAAGACAGCAGTATCGTTGTCTACATAATATGGAAAAAATAGTTCCGCGAACTTTCCGTCCTCGGATCGTCTTTCCAAGAGGTTTTCGGCTTCGTTCCCGGGGCCCTACAACCGGGACGCATAATTACACCTTTGCGCGTCGAGGCAATCCCTTTCTCTCTCTCTCCCTCTCTCTCTCTTTCTCCCCCGATTTCGAAGCTCAACACTTTCCAGGGCGCCCCGTGGTCCGCAGACACCGCGAAACGACCAGACACCGAAGGAATTTCGTAGTTTGATTTACAGCTGCTGTCCGAGAGAGACCAAGAGAGAGAGAGAGAGAGAGAGAGCTTCATCGTCTATCGGGTCCACCGGCTCCGGTTTTGATTGCGCTTCCCTCTAATGGAGGGTAAACGGCTCTGGCCCCGTTCATGAATTTGTATTAGAGAATCGGTTCCGAGAGCTGGCTGCCCGAAAATCGCCTCGCCTCGTCTCTCCTCTTCTCTCCTCTTCTCACCACTTCGTCGCGTTTCCTCTTTCCGTCGTCTCGCGAGACCTTGACCACCACACGATTCGAAAATTGGGCGCAGACTTGCCCAGGAACTTCGAGAAGCTTTCTTCTTCGGCCTGGAATCCCGACGCTAAAGATAATCGCTTCTGCTGGGTCAAAGTGCATTTTGACTGCAGTTGCGCCGCTCTTCTGCGAGATACTTGCAACGAATAACACGGTGCGTCCGTTTCGAACTAGTCGAACCTTCGCTCTCCGATTTGCTAACCTTTGCAAGGTCGATGCTAATTCATGCTGCGTGTGCATTCTTCCAAGGTTGCGACGATTCAAGTTCAAACAAAATAGCAGACTCGAACTTCCGTTGAAGATATTTGGAAGAATGAAATCGTGCATTCGCGTGGAACCAGTTTAGGCGTCGCTTCGAAATCCGCCATTATTTTTGCATCGACCAACCGATTCCGAGGCAGGTCGTCTCGCAAGGGTTAATATCCTCGTCGTTCGACGCATTGAAAACGCATAAGACGCGTCACCGCGCCCCGGCGGCTGTCGTATCGCTAATCTGTTTAAATAACGAAATATCCCCGTGACTCGGGGAAATGGGGGGATGGTAAAGGGGGGACGGCGAAGGGAGAAGCCGGAAGAAAGGGAAACAGCGGGTAAACGAAAATCAATGGATCCGACACCGGGGCGTACAACAACGTCCTTTCGTCTCTGGCTAATGAAATGTACGACGCCTGCACCCGGGCGACCTTCGTTGTCCGATGCCGTCCTCGCAGCTACCCGAATCTTGGACAGTCCGGACGGACGAGGTTGATGGATAATTTAAACCCTAGTTCTAATATCCTGTCTGCAATCCTGTCTACGATCTAGCCGATTGCCTGCCAACGTTAGAAAATTTGTCACGAGACAGCTAAAAGAATCGATGACTACGCGCTGCAATGTTGCTCTAAGAGGCAGCCTCTCGCCACAGGATTCGAGCCTCCGCGCTCGCCGACGCGATATTTTAGCGCGAACGAAGACCCCAGGGGGTAAGGCAGCGGCCCAAAGGTCCCGCGACGTCCCGAGCCAGGGTTTCGTCAAGATGTCACCGCGTTTAACGAGGAGAGTCAAGCGTCGGCGAAACAAGTGATTTTTCTCGAGGAGACGACATAGACGGTCCCCCGGCTCCCGACCCTTATTTCGCCGGTCTCGAATTATGCTAAACGATTTTGCCGAACCGGAGAGGAGTCGCGGCCGAGAGAAAGAGAGACGGTTCCTCTCTCGGAACGGTTGCGCGATGGGGAGGACGCGCGGCAAAAACAGCCGGCGGGATTCCGCGTGGAAACTTTCATGACGTCGAAGAAACGCGCACGGCGTAAGATTTGCAATTATAATTACACGTCGGCGAGCAGCCGAAAAACCGCGGCTGCGTTTCGACGCCGTCTCGTTTTAACGGCCGCGCGCCGCGAACCGCGAGTCGCGCGAGAGACTTAACGAGCGAATTCTACCGCGAGAACCGATTCGACAAGAAACGAAGGAACGCGGAGAAATCGCCTTCGAATTCCGCAACAGATTTTTCCACCGATCGCGACGATTCTACAAAATTTTATTATACTTTTCTCGTCGAAATTCTGCAGCGTTGTCGCAGCCCGCGGAGATCCGCGCTCTAATAATGTCAAAATCGTGTTCCGCGCGGCCAGGTAGACGTTAACTCTTTCCAAGGGGCCAAGGGCGTGGCTAGTTGGCTCCCAACTGTCGTACGACCAAGTCCGACGATTCTCAATCGACATCTACACTCGCGCAAATAATTCTACATCCCCTAAAATTCGAATTTGGAGGAGTCTTGCAGTCCGTAGACATTTTTGAAGCTTTTAGTTGTCGAAAGTTCCTGGTCTGGTGTCCTCGTCCGATCGGAACACTCGTTCTCCCGTTTTCATGGTTCTTCCGCGAATTACTCGAAACGTTGACTCGTCGACCGATTTCTCGAGTGTCGCGACCGCCTGTTTTCCGCTTCGAATCGATATGAAACGATGACGTCGAGTCAGCGTAAAGGGAGAACGAGAGAGAGACGGAGCGGCGAGAGAGCCGGTAGGAGAACTCATTTCGCTCGTTAGGTCGTGCGATATTATTCGCGGGGAGCAGATCGAACCGATGCGATGGGAAGAGCGCCGTCTAAGAGGCTCGTAAAGAGAGCGCTCGTTGCGATTCTAATTAGACGGAATTCCGTCGTTCCGGGGGCGAATTAAGCTAATCGGCCGCGACGAGCCGGCGAGGAAAGAAGAAGATATCGAACAGGAGAAAAATCCTTGGACGGAAGCGGAGGAAAGAAGGCGGTGGTCGGAGAAAACAGGGGCGATAGAGGCAAGCCACCCCTGGGAAGTCGAGAGCATGAAATTAGTCGTACGGGAGCATTAGCAGCGGAGCAGAGGGCTCGCGTTTTATTCGATAATTATGCAAATGCCGGAATGATTGTCGGGCAATATGTCCGTGGAATAAAAGTCGAGTCGGTCGCGGAGCAATTCGGTTATCTTTATGATTCCCGGCGACGGGGAACCAGTTCCACGAGGGATCGGAAAAGGGGAGAGAGAGAGAGCGGTCGATTTACATCGAAACGCAAGTTTTCTAAAGAACTCGAAATACGAGGATGGATTTGTAGCTCGATCCGATTGATATTTTTGCAAAAATTTGTTCGTACATTGTCCAGTACTTTATTGAACGAAGCGTATCGAAGAAACGGATATGGTTGATTTCGGGTATGCGCGTAGCCGTCTTTCGATTCGATTCGAAAAAATATCGCAGAGTTTCAGGAGGCTTGTCGGCCCCCGGAAAGGTGGGAAGGGGGGAAAGGGGAACCGACGATTAATCGAGGCGCGTGCCATGTTTTCTCGCGGCCGCTCGTTACGTGACCGCGCGTTACAAGATCTACGCGCGCATAGATCCACCGTCCACGGCCTATTAAGACGTTCGCCGGCCGATTTAATTAAGTGGCTAGGAGTCGGAGCCGCCTCTCTCTCGCTCTCTCTCGCTCTCTCGCTCTCTCTCTTGCTCTCGCGCTCCGGATCCTCGTTATTTATTATTACAATATATTCCCTGTCGAAAGGGTGGAGCCTCGCCTCGGCCAATCGGCGACGTCGCGTGCCTCGGGTCGTTAGCCGGTCTGGAAATTGATAAGAATGCATCGTCGTCGACGTCGACGACGACGAAGAAGTCGAGACCTCGTCGTCCACCGGCCCTTTAATCGGAACGTTGCGAGACGGGGAACGAATCTATCGGCCACCCCCTCGACCCCCTCGGTCCGGTAATTGGAACGCGAAACACCCCGGCCGGCACACCGGCCGCAAAGAGTAACGCGAGAATTCACTTACTGGTTCTCGAAGGCACGGCTGAAATCCTGATGTGGCCGGATCTTTGCGAGGATGGGATGGTCCGGTCGATCGTTTTATTTTCCGCGGATTTTCTTGGAAAGTCGAACGCGATTTTTGATTCTTGTATGGGAAAGGGGCATTAATCGGAGAATAGATGTTCGCATTCGTCGACTGCTTTTACCAAGGGGGTGAACAATGATTACGTAGAAATAGATTGTTTATTTTCATAATTTTAACGAGTCGAAGATAGCGCAACAACGTTCCATAACATATACAACGTTTCTCCATCACCGACTTTTCAACTTATCCTACGAACGATTATAAAATTAATTTCGTAAGGATAGGTGGACGAAAAACGTCGCCGATTAAATTTTAGCGAGTCGAGAATAATTCGTTGCTTTTAATCTTTCCGCGGTCGACGTTAGAAAAATACGGAAAGGTGGTTGAATCGTCGAAAAACTTCGTGAAAAACGTTTCCAGGGAAAAACAAGAACGGCGTACGTTACCACGGTAGAAATTAGTTTCCGTTTCTCCTGGAAACGGCTTTCTAATTACCGCTCTAACAAGGATTCTATTCCTGAAATTCCCGGGACTCGTTGTACCGTGAAAATAAGTATCGTTTCACCGGAAGCGGGACGATACGAGGAAAAAAGGTGGAGGGAAAAAGGAAGAAACGTGATCGATCGATCAACACCGATATGTACAATAACAACTATTTATTTATAGGTAATAATGCTGAATTACAATGAATACACTTTGTTGCCTCGATACTAGATTGTATAAGTCCGATCGCGAAAAATCGTCGTCGCTCGTCGTCATCGTAACTCGGTAGTGTGGCGATTACCGGTTTTTCTTCCCCGCGGCCCACCCTCCCCACCCCCCCTTGAACCCCGTTTTCATTACCCCTGTGTACGCAACCCGCCCCTCGAAAACCCACCCCTCGATCCTGAATTATGTCGAAATTTGATCTTCGAAGTCGCGTGCTCGCGAATTTGATCGCCCGATCGAGAATCGTCCGCGACCGTTGGAATCGTTGGTCGGCGATTTTTCGGGTCGTATCCTCGATCGTTCGCGGAGAGATCGTGTTCCGGTCGATCTTCTGACCGGAAGGAGATCCGGATCCGGATCGGAATTCGAATTCGAATCCGAATCCGACGACCGGTCGAATCGTTCCACGCGGTGGTCGTCGAAATCCTCGGTGGTTCGCTCGCGACGGATCGGACGACTCTCGATCGCTAAATGAGCCGATCGATCGATTGGTAGCGGCGATGGCAGATACAGATGAGCTATCGGTGGTTAAATTCTCGTTTCACTACGTGTAGCATCGTCTTAACGGGCGTTAGCCGGTACGTACGATCTAGACACTATGATTATGTGAACTTTACAACACAAGAACCTTACTGGGCAAGAGACTTTGTACATGGATCTTAAATACGGGGATCGGCCGCCGCTCGAGACGCCCCGGGCTTGCTAAATCGGCAGCGGTCTCGGTCTCGGTCTCGGTCTCGAACGAGTCCCCGTCGAAGCCGGGAGCCGAAATTCGGTCGAGAATGTCGCGAGAGAGCGGATCGCCGAGACTCTCGAGCGTTTCGAGCGGGATGCCGATCGCGCACGCGGAACGCGGAACACACGCAAATTATGCAGTTAGCCTTACTTGTCGACGGTAGTAACTAAGTTTATTTATATAAATAAGGTGTTACGATTTAAAACGCACTTCCGGGAGGATCCTCCGTTGTCTCCTGGACCTCGCGCCGCTGCCTCTCTCGCACGTCGTCACTCGTTCTCACTCTCACTCAAGCATATGTCCTACCGTTCTACGACTACGTTCGCTTTTCATCGCGTTCTCCCTCGAAAAAAATTTTCTCGCTTAGGAGCTCTCGTGCACACAGATTCATCGGCGTCGCGCGCAACAACACTCGCTCTATATGATACAGATGATCGATCCCGCGCGGCTCTCGTTTCAAGAACAATCCGAAAAGTCGGAGAGAGAGAGAGAGAGTTAGAGAGACAGATAGAGAAAGAGAGAGAGAGGGAGAGAGGAGAAGGAAGAGAGAGATAGAGATAAAGAGATCCACGCGGGTCGAGCGGCTCGACGATCGGGTCGCGCGCGAGTGTAAAAACCGGTACGCCGCGGTCGCGCCGGCTAAATAATATTAATGATAATCGATAGTAATACTCGGGGCCGGCGCGGCCCACCCGATCGTTCGTACAGCTTAAAACACAATTACCTAATGAAGTTCGCTCGATAATTGGGGGTAGGTACCTCTAGGAACGCATGCACGCGCGCGAGCGCACACACGCACTCTCGAGCAGTCTTTAGAAGTCCGTGTTCCTCTCGCCCTCGCCCTCTTTCTTCTTCGTGCCTCCTCTTCTCTACGATACTCGGTTTAGAACGATCCATGAATCGCGCGTCGATCCACGGACCTATGGTATACATTCGCGTGCGACTACGGCGAGTCGCCGATGCTCCGAAAGAGTTTCCCCTCGCCTCGTTGATATGTGTCCACCGATTTACAAGATCCAGAATCTCCGAGATCTCCGAGATCGAAGATCCGGCGAGACTCGTAGCATCGTCGCGAGCGATCGTTCGGTTTCTTTTTCAGAGTCTCGAAGACGCTCGAATGTCGCGATTATTTTGGGGTCGTTCGCACTCCGTTAGGGTCATTGTTCTCTCGGATTCACCTAAGCGGTCGTGTCCATTGGCGAACCACACGCGGGAGATGATGGTTCTGAGTCAGTTTCCGGGATTCCTCCGACGATCGTCGACGTCACTCGTTCTGGCTGCTCGCTACTCGATCGGCTGCCCCTCTCCTGCCCTCGTCCAGCCTCTTCTAGGTCGCGCTCGTGAACAGAACGGAGTTCTTGTAGTAACCCGTTCGAGACTCTGAAACAACATTGTCCATTTCGATCCACCGTTCGCAGAATCTTGCGCAAACTTAGAGATTCTTATCGGAAGACTCGAAGACTCGGGGATCGGACGAAACGCGGTCTTCTTCGCGGCTCGTTTCGGTGCACCGAAAGCGAAGTCGAATCACATGCTTCGCGGTCCACCGAAACTTACGTTCCTGTGTCCGATATAAATGCGTAAACGGTTGTTACACCGCTCGAAACTTGTTCGAGATCGTTGCGAGAAGAACCGCATCGAGGTTTCAATTTCAATTCGAAAAATTGCTTCGAACGATTTCTCCGAGTCTTCGAATCATTGGGATCAGATGTTGCTGGTTCGCAGTTTTCTCCGTAGCGTCGCGTCGCGTTTTCATCGACGCCACGACGAAATAATAGCGACGAGAAGAACGTTTCGCGGAGAGAAAGAGAGGATGAAAGGGAGAATGAAACGCGATCTCCGATGGCGACGGTGATCCGAGAAGAACAGAGAGAAGCCTGAGCGAATGATTCGATGATCGCTCGGTTGGAAGCGGCGCCGCTCACTAATTATCCTTTGCCTGTTGAGACGTAGATCAACGCGAAAGGGACCAGGCGAAGACGCGTCCGAGAAGAAAGGAGAGAAGAAAGATCGGGCCGTATCGGGCCCGCGTTCGTAAATACGAGACCGGTCGACTCATCGGCCCTTAGGGCCCTTTGTGATCGAGCCGCCACTCGACTTTTTATCGAACTGTCGCTTATGATTGAAAATCACTGCGCGTTTTAATAGTCCACCGGATTCGATTTGCTCCACCGTCTCTCGCTAACCCCGCTCCTCCCCCTCTTTCGTCCAATTTTTTGCCGGATAGTTTGTTCGTTCGATCTCGACACCTTTTTCTCCATCTAAGAAGATGGAAAATATTTCGTACGTTGCTGCAAGCTCCGTCGAGCTCTCTCAAATCGATCGTTCGGGAAGAATCGAACGACGAGTTTGGATCGACGCAAAGACATTTCGAAAAATTGTGGTTCCTTCTGTGCGCGTTTGCCATCGCATTTCCTAGAAACTTTATCGAGCTTTCTCGAAAGATCGAGACGTCGATAACGAAGGCGAGTCGGTCGGACCGTATTCGCCAAGTTGAAACGGCAGCGGTTTTAATTTCGCCGCGGTCGTCGGGTCTAGGCTATCGTTGCGGCAACACGGTTCTGGTTTGATAGATAGGACGATGCGGGTCGAGCAAAGATTGGCTCTTCGCGAAAGAGGTAAGAGGCGCCTGACGAGGGTTGCGTTTGAATGAAAAAAGGACGACGATGCTAGGAAATATGTAGATGGCGGCGGGGCATAAACGCTTCTAGAATCAGCTGCAAGATTGTTGCAGCCCGGACGGCAGTAGTACGAAAAAAGATTAGCGGGGAACGGTTCCACACGGGTGTAGCCGAGTTTACGAAGCCGCGGCCAATTAAGGGGGCCACTCGTTAAGGCAGAGGCCGACGGAGTTCTCGGGGAGGACCCAGGCCGCGGGAGAAAAACGATTATTTACGTGCAACGTCACGTCGGGGCCTTCTCTCTCTCTCTCTCTCTCTCTCTCTCTCTNCTCTGTCTCTCCTCTCTCTCTCTCTCTCTCTCTTTCTCTCTCGCTCTCTCTCCCCTCTCTCCCGTTTCGTCGTCGTGGTAGCAGCAGCAGCAGCAGCATTGAAATCGCTCCGCTGCTCCTCCGCGCGGTTTTTGCTCCAGCGAGGTGCGGAAGCGGCGCGGTGCGGAGCGGTGAGGAGAGAGGCGCTCGAACAACTTTCGACAAGTTTCCGCGGAGCGGAGGCAAGTTTTGAATCGGGCCAGGCGTGTGCCGGTGACGCGCTCGCAAGAAACACCCCCTTCGACCGCCTACTCAGGACTTTCTAATTAAAGATACTGCGAACTTTGCGAACCGTGTCGCAAGAAATTCTGGGAGCGGCGTCGCTCGCGAGAAAACCGCTGCCGAATCGAACCCACGCTTGAGGAACGCGGGACGGCTAACGAAAATTTGCGACCCGAGTGAACGTTCCAGGACCTAGGACAAAATTGTCGGACATGCGGAAACATCGTAAGGCCTGTAGAAAAATCTATGATGGATGAAAAAATTATGGGATTCGAGGGGACGTTCAAAGATCTATGAATGATTATGGATCCTGTGGGGGAACATCGCGGGGCCCACAGAAATATTATAGATCAAACAAGACATGTTCTTCTCCATGGAACCATGCTAGCTGTCTGGACGGTCGTTTAGGTTTACGGGATGCTAAAACGTTGTAGAGCCCACCGATTAATATTCTGTGTCTTTGAAAAATTCTTAGCGTTCGCGACGTTAAGAAATCTCGCGCAGCGGATCCGGTGCTCTTGCCCCAATTATTTGCGGCGAGTATTTGTGGCAGAGGTCCGACGAAATTACTGGAACAGCTGTTACAGAACGTGTCGTTTGATTCTAGGACGAATAGACGCCGATAGAGCGGAAGAATGAGAATCCCCGGCAGCTTGAAACACTGAGGAAGCACCGAGGAAGCACCGAGGAAGGGTCCGTCACCGTCGCCAGCTTGTTCGAACGAATTTTACCGTGTCTAGGTGGACGAAGGTGGTTTAGTTGGACGCACCTTGAAGAGGAGACTTCACTTGGTCCCTCTCAGCCGCCTGATGCTGCCGCGATTTTCTCTCCAGCTCGAGTTCCTGGACCAGCGACTCTGCGACAATACAAGAACAGAAAAGATGATTGGTCGGTGAGTCTACGTAAAAGAAAACACGCGTTAGACATTCTCGAAGAAGGATAGACGGATAAATGGATAGATGGAACGCCCCTTGTTCTCTCGAGGAAACCGATCGTCGTTCGATCACGATCAAGAGACACGGGGGCGGCGCCTCGAAGCCTCGACGCCTCGACGCCTCGACGCCTCGACGCCTCGACGCCGCGCCGATTTTGCCGAGGCGTGAACCGGAACGCGCGAACGATGAAACGGAGCGGTAATTAGTGGAAAACCAGCCACCGCGAGAAAGGGGAAAGGAGGAGGGACGCAGACAGGGATAACGGACGTAGGCAGGCGTGAAAGGGCCGCGGGTTTGCTCACTGAATTCCGCAAGGATTAGGGTGAAAACTGGAAAATGTCCCTTTAATGATATCGCGCCGAATTAACCGTGGCCGAGCTCTCCTCGTTTCGGTCTACTTCGTTAAGCTCAGGACCGACGCCTTCGACCTGCTCACGCTTCTGGGACCTATTTAGGTACACCTTGAAGGGCTTCCAGAGGCTTCCAGAGAAATCGCGCAGCCCCTGCGACTGCTACGCGCTCGCGCGGCCTGCCGAATAACTTTGGTGTTCGTTGGCGACGACTCGTCTCGAAATCGCGGCAGGTTCGGAGACGGAACAGATTGGTAGAAGAGTAGAATGCCCTACGAACACGGCGTGGAAACGGCGAAGCGTTCTACGGCGGAGCCGCGAACCGTGTCTTGAACAGTTAAATTGTCATTTGGATATCAAAGGGACGAAACACCCCGCGCGCGGATAAGGGCGCCAGAGGTAATTTGGCTCAGTGAAACGCAAACACGCCGACCCAGCCCCGTCGAATATAAACGGCCCTGACGAGAACGCACGAATTCACACCCANTCGGGGCCTTCTCTCTCTCTCTCTCTCTCTCTCTCTCTCTCTTTCTCTCTCGCTCTCTCTCCCCTCTCTCCCGTTTCGTCGTCGTGGTAGCAGCAGCAGCAGCAGCATTGAAATCGCTCCGCTGCTCCTCCGCGCGGTTTTTGCTCCAGCGAGGTGCGGAAGCGGCGCGGTGCGGAGCGGTGAGGAGAGAGGCGCTCGAACAACTTTCGACAAGTTTCCGCGGAGCGGAGGCAAGTTTTGAATCGGGCCAGGCGTGTGCCGGTGACGCGCTCGCAAGAAACACCCCCTTCGACCGCCTACTCAGGACTTTCTAATTAAAGATACTGCGAACTTTGCGAACCGTGTCGCAAGAAATTCTGGGAGCGGCGTCGCTCGCGAGAAAACCGCTGCCGAATCGAACCCACGCTTGAGGAACGCGGGACGGCTAACGAAAATTTGCGACCCGAGTGAACGTTCCAGGACCTAGGACAAAATTGTCGGACATGCGGAAACATCGTAAGGCCTGTAGAAAAATCTATGATGGATGAAAAAATTATGGGATTCGAGGGGACGTTCAAAGATCTATGAATGATTATGGATCCTGTGGGGGAACATCGCGGGGCCCACAGAAATATTATAGATCAAACAAGACATGTTCTTCTCCATGGAACCATGCTAGCTGTCTGGACGGTCGTTTAGGTTTACGGGATGCTAAAACGTTGTAGAGCCCACCGATTAATATTCTGTGTCTTTGAAAAATTCTTAGCGTTCGCGACGTTAAGAAATCTCGCGCAGCGGATCCGGTGCTCTTGCCCCAATTATTTGCGGCGAGTATTTGTGGCAGAGGTCCGACGAAATTACTGGAACAGCTGTTACAGAACGTGTCGTTTGATTCTAGGACGAATAGACGCCGATAGAGCGGAAGAATGAGAATCCCCGGCAGCTTGAAACACTGAGGAAGCACCGAGGAAGCACCGAGGAAGGGTCCGTCACCGTCGCCAGCTTGTTCGAACGAATTTTACCGTGTCTAGGTGGACGAAGGTGGTTTAGTTGGACGCACCTTGAAGAGGAGACTTCACTTGGTCCCTCTCAGCCGCCTGATGCTGCCGCGATTTTCTCTCCAGCTCGAGTTCCTGGACCAGCGACTCTGCGACAATACAAGAACAGAAAAGATGATTGGTCGGTGAGTCTACGTAAAAGAAAACACGCGTTAGACATTCTCGAAGAAGGATAGACGGATAAATGGATAGATGGAACGCCCCTTGTTCTCTCGAGGAAACCGATCGTCGTTCGATCACGATCAAGAGACACGGGGGCGGCGCCTCGAAGCCTCGACGCCTCGACGCCTCGACGCCTCGACGCCTCGACGCCGCGCCGATTTTGCCGAGGCGTGAACCGGAACGCGCGAACGATGAAACGGAGCGGTAATTAGTGGAAAACCAGCCACCGCGAGAAAGGGGAAAGGAGGAGGGACGCAGACAGGGATAACGGACGTAGGCAGGCGTGAAAGGGCCGCGGGTTTGCTCACTGAATTCCGCAAGGATTAGGGTGAAAACTGGAAAATGTCCCTTTAATGATATCGCGCCGAATTAACCGTGGCCGAGCTCTCCTCGTTTCGGTCTACTTCGTTAAGCTCAGGACCGACGCCTTCGACCTGCTCACGCTTCTGGGACCTATTTAGGTACACCTTGAAGGGCTTCCAGAGGCTTCCAGAGAAATCGCGCAGCCCCTGCGACTGCTACGCGCTCGCGCGGCCTGCCGAATAACTTTGGTGTTCGTTGGCGACGACTCGTCTCGAAATCGCGGCAGGTTCGGAGACGGAACAGATTGGTAGAAGAGTAGAATGCCCTACGAACACGGCGTGGAAACGGCGAAGCGTTCTACGGCGGAGCCGCGAACCGTGTCTTGAACAGTTAAATTGTCATTTGGATATCAAAGGGACGAAACACCCCGCGCGCGGATAAGGGCGCCAGAGGTAATTTGGCTCAGTGAAACGCAAACACGCCGACCCAGCCCCGTCGAATATAAACGGCCCTGACGAGAACGCACGAATTCACACCCACGCACCACGAAACAGCCCTTCGAGCTATTGTTGCTCAAAGCATAATGGAATCTCGGCCCCGACGTCTCTAGTCCCGGCGCGGCGAGGCAGCGACGCGCGCGCGGTCTTTCCTCTCTCTTCTCTCTTCTGGTGCCCCCTCTCTCTTTCTCTCTCTCTCTCTCTCTCGCTCTCCGTTCCTCATCTCGCTCTTCTCTCGGCCGTGTGCCAGTTAACCGGGATTTAATGGCCTCGCAATTGGATTTTACCATTGCTCGTTGCCCAAGGAGGCGCCATTTCACGCTTACCGATTATATTCGCGCCTCCGTGCGCCCCCGTCGCCCGCCATCCGTCATCCCGCGTCCGTCTTCCCGCGATTAATCCTTTCGATCGGCGGATTTCTCGCCTCGAGGCAGTCGGCGAGCTATTTGCCTTTCGATTCGATACGTTCGCGCAGTTTTCCTCGGTTGACGTTGCGTAATTGGAAATACAACGTGTCACGGTAGTGCCGAAGACGGTTCCCCATCGGACGACGATAGGGTGCTGCGAGGGAGCAGGACGAAAAGCGACGTTCAACGGTATCCATAATGTTTACGACACAGACAGGATATGCTAACGATCGAAAATTCCGATGTTAAACAAATTCTGATTTGTGAACGTTCTTATTAATAGTCGCGTTAATTCGAATACAAAACGAAGGAACGAAGCGTCTCGGTTAATCGAAGTACCGCTAACTATACTCTGCAATATCGATGATTAATTTACGGCGCATAAAGTGTCTCCGTGTTCGGCGACGTTGCAACGGTGCCGTAGGTCCCAGAATCGAGAATCGGGGATAAACGAAGAATCCTTCGCGTTCGCGACAGTTGTCAGCGCGATGCCTCGAGATCGAGATCTCGATCTCGTTCCGTATCGAGGGCAGAACCGGTCCGAGGGGTCCGATTCCGGGCCCGATCGATCGACTAATAGTTTTGCTACCGTATTACCCACCCTGACAAATCGCGCGAACAATGAAAACAATTTCAGGCCGACGTGTCTCCCTCCCACCGCAAACGTGGTTCTTTCTCGGGACCCTAAACGGTCGGCATTGTGCCCTCGTCCCGGGACCGAGTGGTTCTTGTTTTCGTTCTCGTTTTCTCTCTTTTTCGGGCCGTTGACGCCGCCACGGGAGGAGCCACCGACAGCCCGCTGAAAAGAGAGCAGAGGGAGAGAGAGAGACAGAGAAAGAGACTCTCTGAACTGTATCCGGTATGACTGTGCGTTTATCGGCACGTAATTAACTGGCGCACAATGCATCTCGAGAAGGCCAACTCGCCTCCGATACGACGAAGAAAAGGAGCATCGGAGGCAGTTAGATCTCAGGGAGAGAGGGGCGAGGGGGAGGTAGAGAGAGAGGGAGGGGTGGAGGACAGAAAATAGAAGCTGCTCGACAAAATCGTAGTATTGTGCCGCGACGTTGCCTACGTCATTCTTACGGGACCCAAGTTGGAAAGCGATTTTTTGTCGATACGAAATCCGACCGACACGCATCCGAGCCACAGAACGATTTCATCTTTCCGCCGCGATCCTCGACCCGGCGAAATTGGACACGTTCCATTCGCGTCGAAGACGAAGACCTCGACTTCGAATCGTTTTCGGGACCGTGGATTCGATCGCTGGAACAGCGTGCGACCCGCGGAGGTCCGCTATCTTTCCCGTTTGTTTCAACTCCCGACACCCTCGCGAATCGAAAGGCCCGTCGCGACGGGCCCATCTTCCAGAGGAGTTTCACGTTTCGCCCGATCGAGGCAACGGTAATCAGTCGAAGCAGCATCGCGGGATAGCCGGATCAAAAGAAACCGAATAGAATATTCGACGATGAACCGACGAGTGGACGACGGGGGGGAACGGAGGGGCGGGAGGGCGAGTCCCGAGGGCACGGAAAGAAGGAGAAGGAACGTCGGCCGAGCCGGGGGCCGGGGCAGGGGCCGGGGTAGATTTCGTGTAGCGCCGCGTTTTTAATGCTCTGATCTTTATGTAAAACAGAACACGGACGCCGGTAGACGTCGAGGGGGTTGGCGGAGGGTTACGGGTGGTTTAGGGGGCAGGGGCTAGGGGGATCGGAAGGGGGACAGGCGCTCGAGCAGCAAGCCGACCGTGAAATTGTATGAATCAAGGAGGTGCATGGTGAAGCGCGCGGAGACACAAAAACCGGCGACGGCGACGGCGGAGCGGTGCGGCGCGTACAAAAAAGCTCGAGGCGCGAGGACGAAGAGGAATGCGTGCGCGCGGGGAGAAGACGGGCTTCGATTTCCAATGGAGCCGGGAGACGGGCCTGTCTCCGGTTTTTCCTGGGTCGCGTGCACCCAGTCCGCGCGCTCGCCGGAAACGAATTTAATCCGCTTCTATCCGCGTCTCCCTTTCTGCGTGGAGTTTCTTGCTCCACGCTCCGGGCGATCGAGAAATCGCGAGGCAAGGATGCGGCATCGTCGACGACGACGTTGCTGTATAACCGGTGCCGAACGAGGGTGAAAGAATAAGGATCACGGATGTTCTAGCCCCGACTGTCATGGAAGCTACCACCGTTTAGTTACCCTCTCGCAAACTACCACGGCGCGTAAATAGCAGCGGCTGTTCACCCCCAGATTTCTCTAGCCACCACCCCGGTTTGCTCGCCGGAAAACCGCGCCGTGTCTTGCGGATATATTCGCGGCGAGGGACGCTTTCGGTTCTCCCCCGCATCTTTGGCTTCCCGAGTCGAGTACTCTTCGTCCGCCATCTTGCGCGTCGGAATTCTACTCGGCACGTTTGCCCCGGGGTCCAATTGGGACGCGATTGTCGGAACGTTGCCGATCCGAGGGATTCCAAAAAGTAGCTCCGATCCAAATTCGGACACGGCGAACCGAGTTCGCGGTAAGCAAAAGTTTTTGTTTCGCCGGCAGCTCGTATCTCGTTGGAAGCGGATGAAGTCGTCTCTGCCGGTCGAAAGATTCCCGTTCCGTTGCGCGGGGGTTGCAAGGGGTGTTGGAGGGCGGCGGGGAGGAAATAAACGACGACGCAAGGTGGAGAGAAATAAGAAGATCGTGTACCGGCGCGGTACACTGTCGCGAGGCAGAGTCACGGCGGGGGTGGAGGCTTGGTAGCCGGAGCAGAAGCGAGAGAAGGGCGAGTAGAAGGAGGAGGAGGAGGAGGAGGAGGAGAACCAGAAGAAGAAGAAGGTGAAGGAGGAGGCAACAGAGGAGAAGGAGGAACGTTATGGTTGCCGCGAAATTATTGCATATAGTCTGAATATTAAAGCGCGGCGGAGTGCTCCGTCGTACACTCCGCGGCTGGTGGATGCCGGATGATGGACGCGAAGGAACGAACCATCGTGTGCTCCGTACCTGTGTACACGCGTGCACACGCATACTCAAAGAGAGAGAGGGAGAGTGAGAGAGAGAGAGAGAGAGAGAGCGAGGGCCGTGTGGACGGAGACAAAGCGAGCGAGAACGGTGAGTCGGTGCGCGACGGAACGGGGTGAGAGAGGCGAAGGTTTAAGGGATATGAAAGAGAGACCGGAGAGAAAGCAAGAGGAAGGGAGGAAGGGAGGGAGAGAGAGAGAGAGAGAGAGAGAGAGAGAGGAGACAGGTAACGCCACCGAGAGCCACCGTGGCCGCCGGGGAAATTACGGCTCCTTCCTTACTTGCCAGAGATGTGCATAAACTCTGCATTACGCGCAGTGGCGCTCATGCGACCGCAGGACCATCCTTCAACCGTGACTCGCGCTAATAACAACCGAAATTCCCTGTCCGTCCGTGATGGATTTTCTCCTGAGCGTCGAAAAAACGACTTTCGAAAGATGCACCGCAGGTAGATGTAGATTCTACGCGATCTATCGACGAAACGATAGATTTTTGGCAGAAACTCGACGCCATCGAACGCTGTTCCGATACGAAGCTTCGTAGGAAGAAAAATTCACCAGCGATTTATAAATATTGGATTCTTGTTGCAAAATGATTAACACGGTAACGGTTTTTGCAATTTAATTAGCCCTCGGTTCACAATTTCCCCGCCACTGTAAATACAATTTTCAGTAATTTGATTTACCTCCCGTTCACAATATTTCCCGATTTTATTTACCAGCTTCGCGCTACTCGTTTTCAGCGATCGCGACTGCAACTAGCCGGATAGTTCCAGCGACGGACCCTCGTCGTTTTTGAAACGAATAAATCCGCTGAAAAATATTTTATATTATCCTTCGCAAATCTAAATTCTAAGTATCCGGTCGCGGAAAGTAAGCCTGCGGGGAGCGGTAACAATGGTTGAAATTTAAGAAAAGCAGCACCAGCCCCTGGGCACCCTTCTTCCGAGCGTTTCGTATCGCGCCGCATCGCGTCGCGTCGCGGCGTCGAAAAGAGGGCGAGCACTCTCAGCCGCGGCTCGCCGCTAATTCGTATAATCGCGTTCCCGCATTAGGACCCACTCAATTTTTCTGATCTTCCGGCCGAGTGGCTTCGATCCTCGATTACCCGGACAAAAAACGAGGAAGGAAGTGCTCGAGGGGTGGAGAGGGCGTGTGTAGCTGCGGGAGCCCGGCCGTAGAGAAAACATCGGGGGTGGAAAGGAGAGGAAAACGAGAGCAAAGAGGTGAGCCTCGCTCTCGGTATCGCGCAAAGTAAATTATTCGAAAGATCTCCAGAATAGAGAGAGAGAGAGAGAGAGAGAGAGAGAGAGAGAGAGAGCGCAATCACGCCGGGGGCAATAACAACCCCGTGTACAAGGGGTGGACGAACGAGGGAGACAGAGGGGGACATTCGGCTCTGACGAGGAAACACGAGGTATTTGAATAGGGTCCCGCAGCCACCCGGGCATCATGATGCGGAATCCATTTGCAATAAACAACGGAGATTTAGATGAGGGGGTGAGGCTCGGTGGGGGTGGAGTATAGGTCGACGGAACGTCGTCGTCGTCGTCGCCGGCGTCTGAGGTGGGTACTTACGACGCTGAGGGGACTTCGGGGACCTCGTGTCTTACAGTCATGCATTCTATACGAACAGCGCCTCTCATTCTCGGCAGGATCGCGTGCGGAACTTCGCGGGAAATTCTGCCGGTAAATGGGACGGGACAGAGACAGCGGCTTCGGATCTCCCATGGCTCCGCGACTCTCGTTTCTTCGCGCTTCGTCCACCGGTTTTCTAATAATCCGAATCGAACGACGATCGGTTTTCGAAAGCGACGATAATTTTAACCGCGATCCGTCGCAACGATTCAACGACCGTTTTCGAAAGCGTTGCATCGAAGAAAACGATCGAACTTGGATTTTAGATAGGATCGAGGTCAGGGTTAGGACGCAGTAAACTGACCTTGGTAGTTCTGCCAGAACGCGGACGCTTGGCTGCCGATCAGGTCCAGTCCGTAGCCCCATGCCGGTTTCTCGGGCGTGGAGGGTTGCTGGGAGGGACGCGGCACCTGTGCTTCCCTGTACTGTTGAGCCTGTTGTTGCTGCTGAAGGGGTTGCTGAGAGGATTGTTGCTGTGAAGACTGTTGCTGTGATTGAGAATGCACCGGGCTGGCTTCCGGCGGCTCGGAACTCGTGCGCGCCTCCACCGTTACGTTCTCTGCACCCAACAGACAAAAATCACCCGTAGATCACCGTTCGGCTATCGCTTCTTGGACCAGCTACAAGCGAACCCTCCGGCGATTTCTCGACGCATAACCCTTCGATTTAAATCGTGGGGATTCGTGCGAAATCTCGAACGAAATCTCTCGATTTATTATTACTTTATTATTAATCGGCGATCGACTCGGGAAGCTGTCGTTTGGTTCGCGATCTTTCGATCTAAAAATATTTCGAACCTTCGGGGCTGTCTTCGGTCCACGAACCGGTTCGAGATTTCGTCGGAGGTTTCGCAGTTGCCGAGGTCCCGCAGGAATCGCGAGGGGCTCGTCAAGACTCGCGACAAGGTAACGAGAGACCGAGGGTTCGGCATTCGCGTGCTCCGTTTCATTTGAAATTAGTATCGCTACTCTCTGCGTCTGACAGGGTTAATCAGCAGCGAGCGCGCAAGCAGCCTAACCGATAGACTATATCGGAATAAGAGATTTCACTTAAAGGGTTTCAAGCAGCCCGAGTTTTGCTAGTGACAGGATAGGGTAGGGGCGCGCGAGCGGCGGGGGTGCGTGCCGGCTCTTTCGCTGCCGAAACGAGCCCACGGTTTATCGTTGGCCGGAGGTGAACCTCGTCGAAGAGAGGCGCGAGACGCGCGGGGGCGGAGAGAGGAGAGGAGAATCGCGACGATGATTCCAGGGGAGAAGGGATCTAGCCGCGCCGCTCTGGGGGATAAGCGAGGAATCGTATTCTGCCGGGTGTCAGGCTGTTTGCTCTGCCTCGCCGGATTAATTAATTTATTCCCGAGATCACCGGTAGCCCCGAGGCTCCCGAAGATCGCGCATCCGCTCCCCCGAGCGATCCTCGAGCGAGCACGCGCTCTCTTATCCTCTCGGTACTCACCGGTGATCGCTCTGACTTGCTCCGTAGACGCCCCCGTCGCCTTCAACGCCTCCTCCAGCTGCGTGCGCCTCTTGATCTCCAGGTCCAGCTGTTCCTGCAGACGCTTCCTTGCTCTCCGCTCCTTCTTTAACCGTTTCTGGTACATCACTGCGCAGACAAACGAACAAAACTATCGATTAGTCGGCCATGAAAATAGGGGGCGGAGGGAGGCCTAGCTCGAAGGAACGCGATAGAGACGTTTCGGGCTGTGCTCGGCGGTCTCTTCGAGATCGGCGCGTCCCGTGGAAACGGCACGGTTCTCGCGGGTTCTCGGAGAAGCACGCCGAAGAAGGTGCCGGGATCGGCAGGAGTCGGGGGATCCGCGAGACGGACAGCTGTCAAAACGAGTTAGCGGGTGAAGCGTTCTTCCGTACCCCCAGGTGGCGGAACCCTGGCGAGGTCTCGGTCCAACGAAATTATCTCGGCGTATCACTGTACCGCGGGGGGCTTCACGGGCCGCGCAGGGAACCGCGCAGGGGGCCCGGACCTGCGAGCAGTCGAGCACGCGTCTAAGCGGGGGTCTGATCGTCCAGGTGGCTACCGTGCGAGGCCCGTCCGCGCCGCAGATCGCCGTCGATCGATCGATCGCCGCTGCGTGCCGCGCCGGTTATCGATCGATCGGGCACTATCCGACCCCCGCCGCATCGTCGACCGGTTTTCGCTTCTATCCGGTAGATTCGCGAACCTAGTTGCGCGATCGATCGATCTTTTTGATCGGGAGGCCGTGTCTTCTCTCTCTCTCTCGCTTCGATCGCTATATTCGCGACGATTGAGAAGAATCCGAGCGAGGACCTGCCCGTCGTAGAAAGCGCCGAAGCTCTCGTCTTTCTTAGTCTCGCCGTGGCGAGAGATTTTCGACCAGAGGGGCCCGCAGGAAAATATTCGACACGGTCGGACGCATCCTCCGCGGCGCGGCAGGGGCCCGCGATCGCCTCCGATCGTCCGGGGCCCCGGGTCGGCCCGTTTGAACCGAGCCCCTCTCCCTGCTCGGTTTAATTATTTTCCATCATTGTGAACCGCCGTGCGTCCGGCCATTGTGCCTCGCCGGGTTAACCCGCTCCCGGCACTTTTGACTCGATCTTTCGCGAACCCGGGCTTTGTTGTCGACGCCTCTATCGCCGGGATCGAGGATCGAAGATCGACGGTGCTCGGCGTTGCCGCTTCTTCCGCTATTCGTCCGAACGATCTACCGCTGAAATACTAGATCGGTATTGCCTCTAAGGGGGCCCGGCTGCCGTGCTAGTCGTAAAATCGGAGAAAACGGCGGGTTTCCGTCTTTCTTTCCAGTTCCCGTCCAGGTGTTGTCTCCATCTAGGTGCGCGACGACAGGGGGATACGAGGGAGAAAGCGCGAGAGGGTGCTCGGAGGAGGGAGCCTCGGCTCGATGGAGATGGAGGGCGGCGAGGCGGCGAGGCGGCGAGGCGGCCGGAGGCCGGAGGCCGAGGAGGAACGCGAGGAGGCCAAGCAAAAGTGGGGTGGGACAAGGTGGGAAGGAGGACAGAGAGTGAGAGAGAGAGAGAGCGAGAGAGAGAGAGAAGGAGTAGGAGCGGCTCGGTGGGGTACGAGGGAGAAGCGGGGGACGCAGCATTATGATGCAAAGATGGCGCGGCTGCGGCACCCTAGAATTAGCTCGAGCACTCGCCATTGGCCGCTCGACAAACCACTCCTTCGGTAACAACCGACTGCATACGTTGCATACTAAGGATACACGCGAGCCGGCCGAGAATCGCATGGAACCGGGCCTACTCGGGCCCCGCTTGCCACCTACGATTCCGATCGGGTCGCCCCTCGGTACCCCGCCTCCCGCGATCGCGATTCCGCCGTGGATTTATCGGCTCTCGCAAAGTTTTCTGACAGAATTTCTTAGCGAATTCATCGAGGATTTTAGTTAAAGAGCAACGTAGCGTCCTGCCTCTCGAACAACGGTTATTTCATCCAGAACTGTCTCCGAGACGCGTTCCGCCTCGCCTCGAACGTAACAGCCGTGTAAACGCTCGAGGTACGGATGCACGAGAATCCGGGCTATTGCTCCGGCAGAATTTTCACGGTAAAGAGAACTTTTATCGTCGAGGATCCTGCAGAGTTGATTTTTGTACATGCTGGGAAATTGATTCGGTTTGATACGATCTTTGTCAATACTTTTACTCGTATATAGGCTCGTTCGTGGTTTACACGTTTGCGCGCGTCTAATTATTGGACGGTGAATTTTGATGCGTTCGCGACAGAAACGAGTGGCAATGTACTATATGTACCTTATGAAAATCGTCGAGGAAAGTACTCGATATACATGTAACGGATTAGTTGTATCGCGCACAAGATCCTCGCTGTAAAAGTTCAACTTTTCAGAGGAGAACGGTTCGTAAGAACGCGACTCGGCTCATCGTCGCCTAACCGTGCGACGATAGGCCTCTCTGTGCCGAAAGGCCGAGGCGAAAGAAAGCGACGCGACGCCGGATCGCTAAATCGTGAAATCGGAACCGAGAACTGGATCGGGACCGGAGATCGGGACTCGGGACAGTCGGTTGTCGAGAGCGGGCAGGTATCGCGATCGAAGCAATTGATCGAGAAGTCGGCGACGAAGGGGAGGTAGCCGTTCGAAGGCGACAGGCGGACAGCGAGGGGATCGGGGGCGAGAATGCTCCATTAGATAATTCAGTGGAAGGCGAAAAAAACGGGGGGCCAAGGGGGCTGGTGCTCTCCGTCTCTCCGACCCTCTGTCCCCCCGTCGTCGGACACGTCAAAATACATCAGCTACCGCTGTGCGCTCGCTCAGAAATCCTGTGGCCGCTGTCCGAGCGGACTCCCCACGTCGCGTCGCGTCGCGTCGGACAGCTCTCCTCGGCCCTCCGGTGATCGTGTCCGCCTACGTTCCACGCACGCCACGAGAGGAGAGGAGAGGAGAGAAAAGGAAAGAAAAGGAGAGCATCCGCGAGCTCCGGAGAGGGTACGACGATACACGGCTTCGATCCGGATCGAACGATATCGATCTCTTCGCAGCGTTCGCGGATCGAAATGATTTTACCCTCTTTCGAACAGTCGTGTACAAAATTCCAAAACTTCTGTTCGATCAACGAGGACCTCTTTTTAGAAATGTGTTCGAATAGAATTCGGTTCGTAATGCCCTGGGCCATTTACGAGATCCGTCGCCGAAGTCGGAGCAATCTCGAGCTGAAAGCGCAAACACAATCGAGGGAACAGCGTCGAATTCGACGGGGAAACCCACGGAAACTAATATACAGGCCGGTCGTCTTAATCCGGATCGCGTTTAATACTCGCGGAAACAGAGGGAGAGAGAGAGAGAGAGAGGGAAAGAGAGAGAGAGAGAGAGAGAGAGAGAGAGAGGAGGAGGAGAGAAGGAGAACAGGCCCGCCGGGAATAGCAATATGATTTACATTTTGAGGTTATATCGACCATTCCGGGCACCTGCAGCACTCGCTGGTTCCTAGCCCGCGGCCGATACTCGCGATGACCGGGATCTGCTCGGAAAAAATTAATAACACCTCGGGAGATCTCTGCGGTGTTGGTGCACCGACGCGGCGCGCCTCGGCGGAACCTCTCGCTTCGTTCGAAATTTTATTCTTCCACGAACTAAAATTCTGCTGTCCCTATTCTTCTCAATTTACAGACGGAAATAGATCGTACTTTTCGGTTTCCTTTCTTTTATTCGAGCTCTTTCTTTTACTCGGATTCTTCCGGAAAGGGGTTCCAAATCCCGCGAACCCGGTGCTTCGCAAGGATGGTAGCCGTGTTCGGGGCTGGATAAGGGGTGTGCTCGCGCACTTAATGCGTAATTACGATTCATGAAGGCGGACGAGCTTCGCTGTGCGGTGTCCGCGTCTGGACCTGGACGAGATCCAGCTTGGCGCGCGTAATCTTGCCCGAATACGTCCTCGAGGACCGTGGAGCGAGCCGAACAGCCGTTAGCCGGCGCGCGGCGCGGCGTTTAAAGGGGTTCTTACGCACCTACTCGAGACAGGAGAGAGAGAGAGAGAGAGAGAGAGAGAGAGAGAGAGAGAGAGAGAGAGAGAGAGAGAGAGAGAGAGAGAGAGAGAGAGAG